CAACATCTGCTTCTGGTGAGGGCTTCAGGTGGCTCCCACTCCTGGCACACAGCGGAGGAGCCAGTATGCACAGAGATCACATGACATGAGAGGAAGCAAGGAGTGGGGATGTGGCAGACTCTTTTTAACAACCAACTCTCCTATCAATTAACAGTGTGAGAACTCACTCACCCTCCTCCATGGAAGGGCATTAACCTATTCATAAGCGATCCGTTCCCATGACCCAAATACCTATCATTAAACCTGACACTGGGGATCAAATTTCAATATGAGATTTGGACAACATATACTCTGCATAAGACTAAACATTCCTGTACATTTTTGCATGATATATTGTTCCTATTCTCTTGGGTTTATACCTATGAAAGGAATTGATGGGTCATATGGTAACTTTATTTAACATTTTGAGGACCTGCCAAACTGTTTTACAAAGTGACTGCATCACTAGCCAGGTGCGGTGGCTCACACCTGTGATCCCAACATTTTGGGAGGCAGAGGCAAGAGGATTTCCTGAGCCCACAGATTTGCGACCAGCCTGGGCAACATGGCGAGAACTTGTCTCTACAATAAATCAAAAAATTAGCTGGGCACGGTGACATGCACCTGTGGTTCCAGTTACTGGGAAGGCTGAGGTGGAGGGATCACCTGAGCCCAGCAGGTGGAGGCTGTGGTGGCCATGAGCGTGCTCCTTCACTTCAGCCTGGGCGACAGAGTGAGATGCCAACTCAAAAACAAACAAAAAAAGTGGCTGCGCCATTTAAAAACCCCACCACCAGCAACAGTATGCACCCTAATTTCTCCAATTCTTTCTAACACTTGTTACGTCTTCTTTTTCTTAGCCATGAAACTAGATATGAAGTGCTATCTCCTTGTGGTTTGATTTGCATTTCCCTAATGACTAATGATCTTGAGCATCTCTTTGTATGTTTACTGGCCAATCATAGGCGATCTTCTGTAAAGCATCTGTTAAGATTTTTTGCACAGTTTTATTGGGTTTGGTTTTTCATAAGAGTTACAAGAGCTTTTTATATTCTGGATGCAAGTCTTTGTCAGATACATGTATTGTGAATATATACTACTAGTCTGGGACTCTCAATGGTGTTTTAAGAAGAGCTGAAGTTTTAAGTTTTGATGAAGTCCAGTTAAGTAAGATTTGGATTTTTTGTACTGTAAGAAATCTTTCTGGAATATCTACTAAGTTTTACCTATCTACACCTATACTCATAGTCCTTATTACTGAAGTTCTATAGTAACCTTTGAAATTATGTAGTATAATAAGCCCTTTAACTTTGTTCTTTTTTTTTTTTTTGAGTTGGAGTCTCACTCGGTCTCCCAGGCTGGAGTGCAGTGGCCGCTCCCGGCCACCGCAGCCTCGGTCTGCTGGGCTCCGGCGATCCTTCCACCTCAGCCTTCCAAGTAGCTGGAACTACAGGAATGCGCCCGGCTAATTTTTTGATTTATTGTAGAGATGAAGTCTTACCATGTTGCCTAGGCTGGTCTCGAACCCGTAGGCCTAGGCAATCCTCTCACCTTGGCCCTCCAACGTGCTGGAATTACAAGCTTGAGCCACTGCGCCCTGCCAAGTTTATTCTTTGAAAAAATTTGCTTTGGTTATTCTAGGTCCTTTGCTTTTCCATATAAATTTTTTATTAGTTTGTCAATTTCCACACAAATGCCTCTGAATCTGAAGGTTAATTGGGGGAGAACTACCATATCTTAATAATATTGAGTTTCCATCCTTGACCATGGTATACTTCTCCATTCGTTATGTGTTTATTATGTATTCTTGATATATTTCTTAATTTCTTCCAGAAATGTTTTATAGTTTTTACTATACAGTTCATGTATGTTTCATTAAATTATCTAAATATTTCATGTTTTGGTATCACTGTAAATAGAACTGTATTTCTGACTTCATTTCCTAGTTGTTCACAGCTAGTACATAGACGTGAAATTGATTTTTGAACATTAATCTGTACCCATGACTTTGCTAAATTCCTTTATTAAGGGTCTAGTAGTTTATCTGTAGGGATGAGCTTCTGAAGAGAAAAGAAATCCCCTCCTTGGAGATATTGTTTTCCTAATTCTCAAAGTAACATATATTATTTGAAGAGACTTTGGAAATAACTGAAAAGTATTTTTTAAAAGAGAAAAGAAGAACAAACTCCAATTTTCTCAATATGCAGGTTAACTGCTATTAACCACTTAAGAAATTTCCTTAGAGGTTTGAGCAACATTGTTTTTTACAATGCATTTATTTCTATATATTTGAATGTATGCAATATTGACAATTATTCATCATGCTTTTTTCACAACACAACAGCATCATTTTTCCTGTTATCAAACTTCCTGTGTATATAACTTTAATGTTTGCATAATATTCCATTACATGGATATGCCATAAATATTATACTATTATACACTTTTCTTTTGAAAATTACGCACTGTTGTAATTACAGTTTCAGTGATCATTCACAGACATGTATTTCTGTCCATATTACCAGTTAGGTCCTTATGAGATCAATAATAGTAATATTATTAATAGCTAACACATACAGCACCAATTATGCACCAGGCATTGTTTTATAAGCTTCATATGTATCATCTTACTTAATCCACACAACAACCCTTTGAGGTAGACACTAGTAGTATTCTCATTACACAGTTGAGGAAATTGAGCCAAAGGTTATCAGAAATTTTGAGAAACCCAGTTATTGGGCTATTGTATTCCCATAAAGAACCACTGCTATAATTAAAACCAATTCTGATAGGTGTGTTAAGTGTGCATGGTGTGTAAGCACTAAGAAGAGCATCAGAAAATGAGAAAACCAGGACCTAGTTCTGGGTCTGTCTTCACTGAAAATGTGAGACCTGGGCCAACTCAATTTATCTCAATTGTACAATGATAAGTTAGATGCTGTCATATTCCTTGTAGCTCTTAAGTTCTAAGCATCATTTCTAGATTTTTCCAGGGAGAGATAAGATCTCTGTCCAGCAGATCTCAGCAATATTTCACTTATCGTTCAATAACCTCTCATTGAGCATATAATGTATATGACAGAAAATGGAAAATCATGGTCAGTCCATACACATAATACATTCATTTACAGATTGAAATATAAAAGTGAAACAGATCTTCTCCCTAAATCTTTGCAGGTCATGAACTTACCAGAGAATCTGAACACTGGGATCCTCTCCCTAGAAGGGAAAATCTTTGTTCAAACAGAATAAATTTGTATACAATAATAAAAATAATTTACTGATCCTTAGAAATGAAACCATATAGCCACTATTTGTCAGTGATTTTTCCAGGTTGAAAAGTTGATTTAGGGCAAAAGGGGAAAAACATGTATGATTAGAAGGGAAGTGAGAACTCAATGAGTTCTTATAAGCACACAAGCATATTTAAGTCAAATAAGAGACTAGGGTGGGGCAGTAATATTAATAATTACAGCTAATAAATTACAGAGAACTTAAATTTTGTCAGGCACTATTCTACACTGTTTACGTTTACTCAATAGTCACCACAATCCTATGAGGTAAGCACTATTATCTCTAATTTACAGAGAAGATATCAATAAGTTAAACACGGAGAAGATAAGCAGAATGCCCAAGGTAACCCACCTATGAGAGCTCAGCCAGGATAGTCTAGATCAAGTCTACGTCCTTAATCACTAAGCTTTTATAAATAAAGATAAAAGACCACCTTGAGAAGGAGAGTATCTTTGGGCAGTGCAGCACTGTGGTGACTTGCTCTAAATATTTCCTAATATATACTCCCACTAAAATGGAGATCTTCCCTGATATGTCCAAATGCACAATGTTTCCTTAAGTCCCAATAGCCAAAGAAATTATTGTGCTTTTAAATTACCAGGAGCTTAAGCACCATGTCAAGAGTGAAACTCTATGACACAAAACAACTAGAAGAGGAAAGGTTTGTAGCAAATGGTTCTCAAGCTTCCTTGATGGTAGACTAGAGAACGTAGATATCTTTTAAAAATATTTTAAAATGGGCCAGGCTCAGTGGCTCAGCCTATAATCCCAGTACTTTGGGAGGCCAAGGTGAGTGGACTGCCTGAGCTCACGGATTTGAGACCAGCCCAGGCAACTTGGCAAGACCTCATCTCTACAATAAATCAAAATTTAACTGGGTATGGTAGCATGCACCTGTAGTTCTGGCTACTTGGAAGGTTGAGGCAGAAGGATTGCCAGAGCCCAGCAGGTAGACGCTGGGTTGGCCATGAGTATGCCACTGCACTCCAGCTTGGGCAACAGAGTAAGATTCCAATTAAAAAAAAAAAAATTTAAAGATGCCTTAAAATAACTATAACAACACTGAACAGACGATAAAACTTGCTCATAATCCCACTATCTAACAAATCAAGTCTGTTCATTTTATATATAGATACTTCCAATTCTTGCCCGTATGCAAATATGTTTAAAAATGAGTATTACTAGCAGTGTAAATGTATTGGTTTTAATTGCATTGCATTATAAGCATTTTCCTTGCTGTTAACCAAAATGTGGTTTAACCACACACATAAAACATACTAAACATTAATAAATGTCCCAGAAGACAATCAAGTAAACAATGACATGCTGGAATACTATTTTCTATCTTTTGTTGCAACGACTATATCCATTTTTAATTTTCAGCAACAACTGTCCCGACAACAGCATATTCATTTATCTTTTTGAAGAATGTAATGAAGCTGTGTTGTTTCTAAACAACTTAGCTCTAAGTGGTTCCTTCTCAGATTCTACCATTTAAGACTTGGTCAAGCATCCTCCTAGGCCAATTACTTTAATAAGAATTTGTAGAAAACAGGAAATCTGATGTATTTCTGTACTGAAATAAAATTTGTGGGGTTTTATTTGCATCTAGAATCAACTATCTAATGTGTAATAGGATAGTAACAAGACTGAAAGCTTTTCCACATAGATTCTACTTGTACAGCTTATCTCCAGGAGTTCTCCAAAGCAAACTAAAGCTACTGTTCTTTGTGAAAAAGTTCCATATTCATTACATTAGTAGGCATTTTCTCTAATATGATTTGTCTGGTATCTAATAAGGTTAGGATTATTAACAAGTGCTGTCCCACACTGATTACATGTTAAGAATTGCTCTCCAGTGTGAGCTATCTGATGCACTACAAATGGAGAGTTCTGGCTGAAGATCATGCCACACCGATTGCATTTATAGTGCTCTTCTCCAATATGAATTCTCTGATGCTTCATGAGATCATTCTTCCGGATGAAGGCTTTCCCACACTGACGACATTCATATGGTTTCTCTCCAGTATGTATTCTCTGGTGCACAATGAGGGCAGAGCTCTGGCTAAAGGACTTTCCACAATCATGACACTCATATGGTTTTTCTCCAGTGTGGGTTCTTTGATGTGAGTAAAGGTGAGAGCTTCGACTAAAGCATTTTCCACAATCTTTACACTCAAAAGGTTTCAGTCCAGTGTGAATTCTGTAATGCACAACAAGGTGAGATCTCTGGCTGTAAGACTTTCCACATTCATTACATTCATAAGGCCTGACTCTAACATGAGTTCTCTGATGCGAAATGAGATGTGTGCTCTGTCTGAAAGATTTCCCACATTCAGGACATTCATAGGGTTTCTCTCCAGTATGAGTTCTCTGGTGCCTAATAAGCCTAGAGCTATGAACAAAAGACTTTCCACACTGATTACATGTGTACAGTTTGTCTCCTGTATGAGTTCTCTGATGGGTAACAAGGTGAGAGAACCAGCTGAAGGATTTTCCACATTCTTTACATTCATATGGTTCCTCGCCAGTATGAGTCTTTTGATGTCCAATGAGGTGAGAACTCCGGCTGAATGATTTTCCACATTCTTTACATTCATAGGGTTTCTCTCCAGTATGAATAAGCTGATGCCTAGTAAGATTAGAGCGCCAGCTGAAGAATTTTCCACATTCCTTACATTTATAGGGTTTCTCTCTATGTATGCCCTTTGATATACTTGGGGATATGCCATGAGTAAGAGAGTTACCATTATCAGGGCATTTGGAAGATTTATCTCCCATGGAAGTTCTTGTGAATTGAATAAGGTGAATGTTTTGACAGAAGGTTTGACTACATTCATTACTGTTACTTGCACAGCTCTCCTGATGACCACTAAGAACTAAATCATGTTTTAAAGTTTTAGTATGTGAGTCACGTTTATGAAAATATTCTCTCAGTACTAGCTGAGCAGGAAGAAGACAGTTTCCCCCATATCTACCACTTTCACAGATTCTCTCCTGAGTAAGTGCTTTCTTTTGGGTGAATGTCACTTGCCTCAAATGTCTCTCTGGGTTTTCCTGATACTTGTCCAACTGGTCTTCATATTTCCAGACTTCTTCTAATGACAAATACCAGAGATCATTCCTTGCCATTCCTTCCATTTTAATGTCAGAGGACTGCTTATCTTTAAAAATGCTCTTACTGGAAACAGATGGTTTAATTTCAACCGCAGTCTCCAAATCTGAAAGAAATGAAAAAGTTTTCCATAACTAAAGAAAGTATTGACCAGCACAGTGTCTCCCAGCACTTTGGGAGGCCAAGGCGGAAGGATCGCTTGAGTCCAAGAGTTCGAGACCAGTCTGGAAAACACAGTGAGACCTTGTCTTTTAAAAAAAGAAGATTTGCAACCAGCCTGGACAACTTGGTGAGACCTTGTCTCTACAATAAATAAAAAAATAAGCTGGGTGTGTAGTGCACGCCTGTAGTTCCAGCTACTTGGATGGCTAAGGAAGAAGGATCACCTAAGCCCAACCGGTGGAGGCTGCAGTGGCCATGAGTATGCCACTGCACTCCAGCCTGGGCAACAGAGGGAGACTCCAACTCAAAAAAAATTAAAAAAGAAGAAGAAGAAGAAAGAAAGTATTAAGGTGAGAATGGCAGGATGTTCATGGAGATGAAGCATGTAAGATGTGCACAGTTGCTTTCAAATATGATTTTATAACCTTGATAGAGAATGAGAAAAGGAAGGATGGCACAATAAACAGTAAATGCATTGGGCTATACAATACTCAAATAGAGTAAAAAGAATAAAGAGAAACCATAGGACTGAACTTGACTTATGGGAGCGGCATATTCAATGTTGAAGGTAGAAACAAGGGAAACCTCACAGAAAGGACTGACTCCTATTTTCGAACCGAAATATTAACAATGTAAGTTTCTAAACTGTTTTATCTGTCAGGCCTTTCCCCAAACATTCATTCTTCACATTACTGCTAATTTAATATTCTTAAACCATAAATGCAGCCATATGTCGGGCAATGCCTTTTATCCACATCACCAAAGCACTACAGAATAATGCCCAGATGACTGACAAAACAGACCTCTCAGTACTCCCAGGCCACATGACAAGGTGGCGGAGCAACTACACCAAAGTTATCCAGACATAATTCTACTTTAAGCTTCATACAACTACTAGTGGTAAACTCAGACAGGTTTCTAAGCTTTTAAAAATTCATTTTGCTTACCTGTTAATCCAAGGATGATGATATTTGTTGTGTAAATATTATATAAAGGGTGAGTCTACTAGTCTATAGCACATGTATAGTCAAAGCATTATTATTAATAATAATCATTATCATTATTCCCATGGTCTATTTGGATTCCTTTGTTCTGAGACATGAGAACTTAGCAGTTGACAGGACTAAGACCACAGGATACTAATGTAGAACTTGGAGCCTTAACTGTATTCTCCTGGACTTTCTACCTGTTTGCTTATATTAGTAGTATTTAATATATATACAGGCAGTGTCAAAAAAAGTATACACATTTTAAGTAAGACATTTGCAAATGTATATATTTTTGGCACCCGTGTGTGTGTGTGTGTGTGTGTGTGTGTGTGTGTGTGTGTGGTATATATGTGTATGGCTAAAAATTATTTCTCCTGCTTAAGTGCTACATTGTCTTTTGAGTAAACTGTCTGAACCTAAACCTTAAAAGTACACTGTATCACTTCATCTTACATAAGTGGGTTGATAATCCACTCTTACCTGGTGTTATGGGTTAAACTGTGTCCCCTCAAAGAAGATATGTTGAAGTCCTAAGTCCTAATCCCCAGGATCTCAGAATGTGACCATATTTAGAAACAGGGTCACTATAGATGTAATTAGTTAAGGTGGGTTCCTAATCCAATATGTGGTATCCTCACAAAAAGAGTAAAAGAGGTATCCTCACAAAAAAAGTAAAAGAGACACAGAGAAAGAGACACAGTGGAGAAGAGCACATGAAGATGACCAAAAATAAAGTGATGTATCCATAAGCCAAGGAACACCTGGGACTACCAGAAGCTGGAAAAGACAAGAAAAGATACCCTCCAAGACGCTTGGCATGGCCCCACTGATACCTTCATTTTGGACTTTAAGCCTCTAGAACTGTGTGAGTTAATACATTTTTATTGTTTTGAGCCACCCAATTTGTAGTACTTTGTAATGGCAGTCCTGAGAAACAAATTCATCTGGTAAATAATCCCTGTGCCTGGCCAGGTCCCTAACTGGCTTCTTTATACAACCCTATCCCACTGGTCCTAATTTTCATTCATGACTTTGTTAGTTTCTTCCCTCCCACACATCAATTATTTTTAATAGGAAACACCATACTCTTTCTGCCAACTCAGAGCATCAGAAAATGCCATGAGGAAGTTTTTCAAACTACAAGTAAAAAGGTTCTAAGATGAAGATATGTGATAAGCAGGGGGGAGAGAGCTAAACACTAATGAAGAACAACTCTGTGTGGAGTGTTTGAGCACATGAATGAGGTGCTTTCTTTTATTAATATCCCAAAAACCTTACACGTAAGTTACTGTCAAAGTCTATAGCACCCATTAATCAACTTATCATCTGAATTTTTAACGTCATCACTCATTATACTTTTTGTTTCAATAATGAAGTTCACAGTCTTGTAGATACTCTAAAATTACAAATGTTTAAACACATGAAGTTTGAGAATTTCTTTTGACAACAAATTCTCAAAAAAATAAAAACTGCTGGATCTAGTTAATGATTGCCATTTTTAGATACTTGTCAGTAGACATCCATGAAAGCTTGCTTAATTAATGCAATAAGTGAAATAAAGGAAGGAAGAAAGAAGAGAAAATAGAAGAATCTTTTCTCCTATGGCTCCAAAGCAGCTGACTGATCAAGTTCCTAAAAGTGCACTGAAAAATCTGCTTTGAGACAGGATTTTGATATAATCACCTACAAGTCAAATCTAAAAAAGTAAAAAACAGTTTATGATAGTATTTCCAAATGGAGGCTTGAACTAAGTGGAAGCTCAGAAAAGGAAGGGAGTTGTACTTAGTGAGAAGTTACTAAAGGCATCACAGAGAAAAAACTTGAAGCTAAACATACAGGACAAGTTAAACTCAGATTTTACTTACATCAGGGAGATGCAGGGAAATGCATGATAGGTACATACGATAGTTATCAGAAGAAAAGACAGAAATGACTATTGGTCATTTTCATGTGACTAGATTGCACTGGGTTTCGGAGCTCCGCGTTTCATATGAGCCCACACAGTACATCTCAGCTGTTCAGCACAATGAAAAGTAGCAATATCTGAGATTGCTGAGAAGGATATCAAAGTATTCAGCTTAGAAGCAAAGGTCAGAGAAAAAAAGAGTTTATAGAGAATAAAGGGGTGGGTAACTGAAGGGAAACTTTCTATTTTTTAACATAAAAGGGCTGACTTTCCCTGTTCACAGATATACACAGGGAAGTTGGGAAACAAAATTAAGTTTGGAAATTGCAAAATGATTGGTATTTTAAGGATAACATTAAAATGAAATAAGAAATAGATGTGTCTGAGACACCCATTCTGGACAGGAAGGAGAGTTGAGGCAATAGGAATTCATAAGTTGTTTGCAGCAGTTTTCTAACTGGCAAAAGACAAACTCTCAAAAAAGAGGCAGATGATAAGAATCCAACTGCAGAGTTCACACTGAGAAGAACTGAACTATGGGAAGGGGCACCTGAAAGAGTAAATTGTGAGAAAAATGCAATAAATGATTTTATGAAAAATGAGAGTATAGAGATTCTAGAGTAAGTGATAATAATAAGGAAAGCAACATGAGCAAGGGCTGAAACTACACCTGTCAACAGAAAGATAATTGTGATGAAGCAGTAAGACACCTTTGTTTCTTTTTATTCTTTTTTTTTTTTTTGAGTTGGAGTCTCATCTGTCGCCCAGACTGGAGTGCAGTGGCCGCTCCTGGCCACCACAGCCTCCACCTGCTGGGCTCCAGTGATCCTTCCTCCTCAGCCTTCCGAATAGCCGGAATTACAGGTAAAATAGCCCAGCTAATTTTTTGATTTATTGTAGAGATGAGGTCTCGCTGCCCAGGCGGGTCTCGAACCCGCGGGCTCAGGCAATCCACTCACCTCAGCCTCCCAAAGGCGTGGGATTACAGGCTGAGCCACCGAGCCCGGCTTGACACCTTTGTTTCTGAATGCAAATAGAATTTAGCAAGTACAACGACAGTGGAGAAACAGGAGGCAGACAAACTCAGTCTTCTAAGGAACAAGAACCTCTGAGGAGGACGAGTGACCACTATCTCCAGAAGTTCTAGCCCCTCACCGCTCACCTGGGCCACTATCTATGATGATTCTTGTTCGATCCTCACTGGGATGGGTCTTTTGGTGAATCCTTCTCTCCACCAGCCAGGGTTCTTGCCCTTTCTCCAACCAGAGGATCACATCTGGTTTAGGAAGCTGATACCCTGTTCACAGTGAAAGACAAAGAATTGGGTGAGAGTGAGGGAAGATCTGGGACAGACACAAAGGAACATCCCAGATTCAACTTAACCCTCAACCCCTTGCAGAACTTGGGAGGACTCTGAAGAGTTGACAGTGTGAAAATTCAGACAAAACAAAAGAAATATACATTTTAAAAAATTCAACTCTATTCACAATAGCAAAAACATGGAACCAACCATGTTGCCCATTGAAGCTTGACTGGATAAAAAAATGTGGTACATACACACAATGGAATGTTATGCAGCCATAAAGAAGGACAAACATATGGACTTCGCAGGAACTTGGATGGATTTAGAGTCAATCATACTCAATGATTTATCACAGGAACAAAGAACAGAGTGCCATATGTTCTCACTCATAAGCAGCCCTTGAACAATTATAGTACTATAAGAAAGCAACTGCCGGGCTCGGTGGTTCAGCCTGTAATCCCGCACCTTTGGGAGGCTGAGGTGAGTTGATTGCCTGAGCCTGCGGGTTCGAGACCCGCCTGGGCAACTTGGCGAGACCTCATCTCTACAATAAATCAAAAATTAGCCGGGCGTAGTAGCGCATGCCTGTAGTTCCATCTACTTGGAAGGCTGAGGCGGAAGGATCGCCGGAGCCCAGCAGGTTGAGGCTATAGTGGCCAGAGTGGCCACTGCACTCCAGTCTGGGTGACAGAGTAAGACTCCAACTCAAAAAGAAAAAAAAAGAAAGCAACTGAGAGTAGTGGGAAACTGACTGTCAGGGGAGGGAGGTGGGATTGGCAGTTGAAAGAAACTGCTAGGGGAGGGAGGGGCATTCCCCATCAAAAAGGGTACCTGCATAATCAACGTTTGTATACCTGACTCTGAATTGTACCCCACATCTTTATAATTTTAAAAAAAATTCAACAAAACAAGTTTCCTACAAAAGTAGAAGTATAAAAACCCTGTTACAGACCCCAAAGAAATGTGGTTCCCTGAACCTCAACCTTTTGATATATACTTCAGGGTCTCTGCACCTTTTGATTTATAAAGAACCAAAACCAGTCAGCACAATGGCTCATGACGGTAATCCCAGCACTTTGGGAGTTTATGACCAGCCTGGGCAATAGAGAGAGACCCTGTTTCTACAAAAAACAAACAAACAAACAAACAAACAAAAAACAATTAGCTAGGCATGGTGGCATATACCTGTAGTCCTAGCTACCTGTCTCTGTTAAAACAAAGAAACAAACAAAAATAATTACAGTGAGTATATTCAAAAACAGTCTCACCCAAGGAAACCAGGTTCTTATAGTTCTCCAACATCACATCTTTGTACATGATCTGCTGAGTGATGTCCAGCAGCTTCCATTCCTCCCTGGAGAATTCCACAAGTACATCCTTGAAGGTCACCAGTATCTACAACATCAAACATAACTGCATTGAGCCAGATGTATATCTTTGCTCACCCTTTCTTGATTCCTAACAGGAAGAGAGATTAAGCTGATAGTAGTAGAGGCAGGGAAAGCAGATGGATCAGAATTTATTCTAGGTATGAATAGTATTTTGAGGGATATTGGTCAATTCTTAAAAGGAATGGCTACTAGGACCAGATTCAGTGGATCAGCCCTGTAATCCCAGCACTTTGGGAGACCAAGGCAGGAGAATCACTTGAGCCCAGGAGCTCAAGACCAGCCTGGGCAACATAGTGAGACCTTGTATCTACAAAACATACAAAAATTAACTGGGTGTGACAGCAACTGCTTGTAGTCCTGGCTACTCAGGAGGCAGAGGCAAAAGGACTGCTTGAGCCCAGGAGATCAAGACTATAGTGAGCCGAGATGATGCCACTGTACTCCAGCCTGGGTGACAGAGTGAGATTCCATATCTCCCTACTAAAAACAAACAAACAAACAACAACAACAAAACACTATTAGGAACCTACTGTCTGAAAGCAAGTTTCATACTATGCTTTACATAAAAGTTTATCAGAAGCATGTTTATTTAAGTCAATTTTGTTTTATTTATTTGTTTGTTTATTTATTTATTTATTTATTTTTGAGTTGGAGTCTCACTCTGTCACCCAGGGTGGAGTGCAGTGGCATGCTCACAGCCACCCCAGCATCGACCTGCTGGGCTCCGGCAATCCTTCTGTCTCAGCCTTCCAAGTAGCCAGAACTATAAGCGCACACTACCATGCCCAGATAATTTTTAAATTTATTGTAGATATGAGGTCTTACCATGTTTCCTGGGCTGGTCTCAAACCCGCGGGCTCAGGGAATCTACTCGCCTCAACCTCCCAAAGTGCTGGGATAACAGGCTAAGCCACCAAGGCTTGTCCCAATTTTGTTTTAAACAGCTAGGGATAATCAAACACCAGAAGTTAATTCATTTCTATAGTATATGAAATAAAGAACCTAATTCAAATTAGGAAAAGAGGTTAAAAAAAAGAACTGAGTTCAAGTATACCTTACTGCCTAAGAGACTTATCACCCTACTCATATTTTATAATCTAAAATAATTGTCTAAAAAGTTTTTCCTGATCATTGGTAGGCATACAAAAAAATGAAGGAGTTAGGAGATTAAATTTTAGTAGTAGCAAAACAATTTGACAGAGAAACACGTTATACAGATGCAAGGCCTTTATTAGCCACATCAAAAAGAGGTGCTGATTATATGAGGGGGGACCCAAAAACCTGGATTGTATTTATAAAAATTGTGTATTTATTCTTGTTTAAACTTCAGTTACCTTCAAAGTACCCTTCCTTGGATGCAATACACCTATTAAGACATTCTTTCCACTGCTCAAAACAGTTTTTGAATTCATCAATTTGGATGCCGTTTAGTGCTTCTGCCATGTTTTGTTTCATCTCTTCCACATTGGCAAAATATTTCCCTTTGAGAACTTTTTTCATTCAGGAAACAAAAATCAAGTCATTCAGGGCAAGATCAGATGAACAGGGAGTGTGGGCATGGGGGTCATGCTGAACCTTCAGTGTGTTGTGGGTAGGTGCATTGTCATGGTAGAAGAACCAGTTACTTGTTTGCCACAATCTGAAATGTTTCTTCTCCACAAATTGTGAAGCAACCTTCTCAAAACTTCTAGGTAAAAACTTTGGTTGGCCATTTGATCCAGAAGAACAAATTCCAAGTGCACTATAAAGGGCCCACTCTTCAAAAGATAATTCTATTTTTTAGGTGGGTCTCCCCTTGTATATAGAAAAAAAACCTATGAGTGATTGGGGATCTCTCACTAAAGATCATGAAGGCTCGGAAACTGAAATGTTTGCTTTCAAATGCTGAAAGAGCTTACAAGCCAGAATTTCTGTATTCTATGAAAAGGTCTTTCAGAAATGATACAAAATAAAGATATTCTCAGATGAAACGCAACCAACAGAATTTGTTGCCAGAAGACGTGTTCTAAAAGATGTGCTGAAAGAAGTTCTTCAGGCAGAAGAGAAATGAAACCAGAGAGAAACATGAATTCTCAGGAATGAAGGATGAATAACAGTGGATATCTGGGTAAATACAATAAACTAGTTTTCTTCTCAAATTCTTCAAAAATATATAGGACAGTTGATAGCAAAAACTTCAACATCTTCTGGTGAGGTTTTTAAATAAGTATACAACTTTAACATAAAGGAAGGAAAGTAGAGGGATCTATATGTTGTAAAGTTTCTAGATTTGAAGCGGTAAAAATTAACTATTAATTAAAAAGTAAACTACAAAAGATTAGGTATGTATATTCTAATTTCTACAGCAACCATTAAAAAATACAAAAATGTACAACTTTTTAGTTTACATTTAGATATAAATTTAAATGAAATAATAAAAAATATTCAAATACTCCAAATAAAGGCAGAGGAAAATAAGGAGGAAAAGATACACAGAAAACTATATAATAAAATTAAACACTTAAATCCAGTCATATCAATAACAACATTAAACATAACTGGTCTAAACATAACTACTAAAAAACAGAGATTGCCAAATTGGATTTTTAAAAACCACAAGCCTTAACATTCTGCTCCCTAAAAGAAAACCAAACTGAAAATAACAATGTAGGGCCAGGCACAGTAGCTCACACCTGTAATCCCAACAGTTTGAGAGGCCTAGGTGAGAGGACTACTTGAGCCCAGGAGTTTGAGGCGAGCCTGGGTAACATAGTGAAACTTCACTGCTCTAAAATATCAAGAAATTAGCCGAGCATGGTGGGCACATGTCTGTAGTCCCAGCTACTCAGGAGGCTGAGGTAGAAAGATTGCATGAGCACAGGAATTTGAGGCTGCAGTGAGCCATGCTCATGCCAACTGAACTCCAGCCTGGGAAACAGAATGAGACTCCAACTCAAATAAATAAAATTAATTAAAATTTTAGAAAGAAAATAATAACTTAGTGAGGTTAAAAATAAAACGACAGAAACAGGAATATCATGAAAACACGAATCAGATGAAAGCTGGAATAGCTATATTAATACCAGACAACACAGACTTTAGAACAAAGAATACTACCAGAGATAAAGAAGGATATGACATAATGATAAATGAGTCAAGCTACAAAAAAAACTTAATAATCCTAAACAGATCAAAATGTAAACTATAAATCTGTAAAATTTTTATAAGAAAACAATACAAAAATCTTTGTGATCTTGGGTTATTCAGAGCATTCCTAGCAACAACATCAAAAGCATGATCCATAAAAGAACTCATTGATCAAGTGGACTTCATCAAAATTAAAACTTTTCTTTTCCTCTTCAAAAGACACTGCTGAGAGAATGAAAAGACAAACCAGAGACTGTGCCATAATATTTGCAAATCACATTATCTGACAAAAGACTTATATGTATAATGTATAAAGAACTCTCAATTTGCAAAGGTGAGAAAACAGACTAGTTGAAACATTTCATCAAAGACGGTATATAGGTGGTAAGTAATAAATAAGCACATGAGAAAGAGGTTCAATGTCATTACTTATTAGAGAAATGCAAGTTAAAACCAGAGTAAGGTACTATCAGATACCTATTAAAAAGGGTAAACTTTGAAAATTTGATGATACTAAGTGCTGGTGAGGATGAAGAATAATTGCTACTCTCACACATTGCTGTGGAAATGCAAAAATGGTACATACAGCCACTTTGGAATATACTTACACACTTTTCATAAAGTTAAACACACTCTGGTCACATGACTTAGCACTCTCTTAGCTAAGTACCTAAAAGTATGAAAATTTATGTTCACATAAAAAACCTATACGCAAATGAATATACCTGATAAAGAGTTTTATTTATAATTACCAATCATTGACTCATTCACATGTATTAAATGTTTATAAGTAATTTGCCCAGTTGTAAAAACTAGAAGAAACCCAAATGTCCTTTAACAGGGAATGCATGAACAGTGTGGTGTAGTCACATAATGGAAATCTACTCAGTAATAAAAAGGAACAACTGACTGACTGACTCATGCAGCAACAAATACATTATGCTATATGAAAAAAGCTAGAGGCTAAATAATACACAATTCCATTTACATGACATTCTGGAAAAGGCAAAATCAACAGATCAGTAGTTGCCAGCAGTTGGGAAGAAGGAGCAAGCACTGACTACAGAGGAGTAGCACATAAACATAAACAGGAGAAGTTGAGGGTGCTGGGTCTGCTGTGTAGCTTCACTAAGGTAGTGGTTACACAACTACATGTATTTGTCAGAATTCACGAACTGCACATCAGAAAGAGAGATTTTTACTGCATGAAAATTTAGATACAAATAAATATTTTAAAAGGAATGTTCTATGAGGCTTGTATGCTAGATACCTTCTCTCATTCCCCACCTGGTAACTTCTCTACCCTGCTTTCTTCCTAGGAAGGGTGAGCTGTATGGAGGATATCAAAAGATATCCTTGCCCTCAGCCTTTCAGATTTATTTCATCAAAGGAGACCAGATGGACATGGCAAGCAAATCGCCCTAGTGTGGTGAGGGTGGGTGTGTTCCCTTGACAGATGGTAACACTCTCTATAAATTACGGGTCTGCTGTTCCTGTTCTCGCCCCTTCAGGCCTAGTGGTGATGGATTCCTTTTCCCTACTTCATTCCCGCAGTCTCCCAAAGTGCTGGGATTACAGGCTGAACCACTGAGCACAGCCTAGTCTTTACTTTTCAAATGGAAGGACTCCCTTCGTTGTAGGGCTGGACTGGTGGTACTCAGCTTTGGGTTATCTGGGAATGTATGGATTTCTTCCTCATTTTTGAAAGACAGTTTGGCTAAATATAGGATTCTTGGTTGACAGGTTTTTGTTCTTTAAACACTTTGAATATTTCAATCTACTGCCTCTGCCCTCCAAAGATTTTGATGACAGTCTGATGATCTTATGGAGAAATTATGATGAGGGCTATCTTCCTGGCAACGCAATAATATATCTTAT